CGCAGGGATTCAACTAGCGGCAGGGGTAGTGAAATATTAAGGGCCTTGGACTTGGAATGGTTAATGCCCAGACCTGAGATCTTTTCAAAATCTGACAGTATAGCCGTCAGATTGGGTAGGGTAACAACTGGATTTGTTATGAAGAGCAAGGCATCGTCCGCAAATAAACAGATCTTATGAGACTCACCCTCATAGCCAATCCCGGCGACATCAGGGGATTTACGTAGTTTTTGTGCCATATGATCCGTGGCTGGCTTGGGGATCATGCAGATCAGGGCGGTAAGGGAATCTTGGCCCAGGGTTCGGCCCATCCGTAGAGAATTAAAGGAAGATGTTAAGAGCGGGATCAAGAGGTCTTTGAAAGCCACATAGTATGTCGATGTGAAGCCATCAAGACCCGGACGTTTGCCCCTGGAGAGAGCAGCTATGGCCAGACCAACCTCTTCCTCCGTGATGGGTTCCTCCAAGGAGGCCACTTGGGACTTTGAGAGGTGGGGAAGATCGAGCCCTGCAAAGAATGTGTCTGCCTGGTCAGTGGAGAAGTGACCCTGGGTCGAGTATAAATCTGAAAGGTGTCGCTGGAAAACATCTAGGATGTTCACTGGGTTGCTGGTTTGGGTGCCATTTGGAGTGCGGAGCTTGATAGGTTTGAAAGAGGGGTCCAAGCGTCTAAGTTTGGAGGCTAAAAGGGAGTCTGCCTTGTTGCCTTTAAGGTAAAATTTATGTGCAGTGCGGTGGAGCTGTTTGGCAGCGTGGTCCGTCAACAGGAGATTGAGGGCCTGACGGGCAGATTCTAGTTTAGTCTTATGTGTCGGAGATGGGTCAAGGGAGAAATTTTTGGAGCAAGTGTTAAATTCACGTTTAAACTTTGTCAATTTTTGTAATCGTTCTTTCTTGAGCATAGAGGACAATTGAATAATGCGACCCCTAAGGACCGGTTTGTGCGCTTCCCCTAGAGTGACAGGGGAGATGTCAGGGGTTTGATTGAGGGCTATATATTCTGCGATATAAGATTCTATCAACATTTTAGAGGAGGGGTCTGCTAAGAGGGAGTCATTCAGTGTCCAGATCTGAGAGCGTGAGGTCGGTAACTGGGAGGGGAGGATCATGGTGACGGCTGAGTGGTCAGACCAGGGGACAGGCAAGGGAGGGGACGATCATGGTGACGGCTGAGTGGTCAGACCAGACGGGAGAGGCAGGATTTTGGAGTTAAGTATGTGCGGTGTCAGCGAAGCGTTAACAAAAATATGGTCAATTCTGGAGAAGACATGATGTGGGTGAGAATAGTGCGTATAGTCAGTTTTATGAGGGTTGACTTCTCTCCAGCTATCCACCATGAAGTAGGAAGCTAATAAATCTCTAAAGGGTTTCGCCATGTGTGCAAGCAGGCTGGTGACGGCTTAGACTTGTCTTGGTGAGGAAACATCACCATGTTGGAATCTCCACACATGATGATCGTTCCCGTTGACCGTGCGTGCACTCTATCGAGCAGGTCTCTGAAGAAGGCAAGTTGATCCGCATTGGGGGCATAGTAGGTGACCAGTGTAATTTTGCTATCGTCTAGAAGGCCGGTCAGGATCAGGTAGCGACCCAGGGGATCACGAGTTTCTGAGTGACATACAAAGTTAACTGACCTGCGGAAGCCTATTAGGACCCCTTTCCGTTTGCAGGAGTCATTTGCCATATAAATATTTGGGAATTGGGAGGAGAAGTATTTGGGGCAGGAAGCTCTAGAGAAATTTGTCTCTTGGAGGAAGATGACATTGGCGTGGATGGATCTAAAAAATCTGAAGGCTCTGGTCCGTTTATTAGGGGAATTTAGGCCCTGCACATTCAGGCTCAGCAATTTAAGAGACATGGGGGATCACACAGCGATTATGTCGTTGGTACTCACCCGACCCGAACATGAGTGGATTTGTCAATTGCTTCGGCCACACCGACACGCAGTCTGAAATAGTTAGCTGGAGAGTAGCTCGGGGTGAAGAGAAAGGGGAGGAAGGGAGGAAACACAAGGGTAGGGGGGACACAAGACAACAAGTAACAAGCATGAAAACAAATACGAGAACCTGAGGTGGAATAAATCCACTACTATCCTGGCTCATTGGGCAGTCAGGTCCGAAGGAACACAAACTACCCAAGGAGTCCAAGAAATGGGGAGCACAGTGACATGCTCACCCAGGCAAAATTTAGTAAAACAACATTTTCATCAAACTATGCCTATTAACCTGGTAACCAAACAACATTAACTTTGTAACTTATATTTCGCTTACAGGCACCGCCGGGGTGCAGGGGCCTGGGGGGTCTGAGGGGTGAAGGGAGAATAAATCGCACATCTACAGGAAATAACACTGTCATAGGTTATCTAAGTGCAGCCCAGGGGGAGACAGTGGCAGAGCTCTTATGCCTGGTAGTTAGTGCATTTAGATGGACCAATATGGCTGGGGATGTTACGAGAAGTCTCCCTAGAGAAGTGCAGTGAGGTAGGGGAGATACCTGGCGCCCGGTCTGCAGTCGAGAGACTGAAGCTAGTGGGAGCTATGGTTCCTGAAGTAAGTGCAGTTGCATAACGCGGACCGCATGCGCCAAGTGGAGAGCAGTTACTACAAAGCTTAACCCAGTGACTAGTAAAAGGATATGGTACTATCTGTAACTTAGATAGTGCAGGTCCACTCAAGGCATCGTGGTCTGGGAAAGTTCTGCAGCCGAAGCCCTCCCGTTGGTCGCCAAGGGTGTCTGTAAAGGCCAGGAGCTTGGCATCATCAGGAATGTTCGGAGGATGGGGTGGTAGGGCCATGGCCACCTTCGTCCGCATCAAAGGCTCAGAAGAGACGGTATTGGCCTGTGGAAGTGTCCCTCAGTCCTGGTCGAAATGGTCATGGGGCTCGACTTTAGATAGAGTCCATTCAGCGTGGTGCAGAGTTCTTGGTGGTAATTTTCACAGCTGGGCCGCGGGAGTCTCCAGAGTTATTTTGGTCAGAGTCGCTATGTGACCTCTTGGTGGAGGAGGTAGACGAGTGTCTCGGGTCCGTGGATGCGGCCTGGAGATCCATAAGGCCCAGGTTGGCTAGTTTCTCTTGGGTCTCTTCCAGGGTGACGCAGGAGTGTTGTCTGCCCCCCAAACGGAAAGGGAATCCCCATTTATATTGGATGCGGTGTTTGGTGAGCACTTCGAGGCATGGGCGAAGGGAACGCCGTTTAGCAATGGTTGTGGGGGCCAGATCAGTAAAGAGTTGGTACTCATGGCCTTGGAAGGTTCGCGGGCCTAGTGACGCCTTGGCCCTGGCCGCTGCTATTAGGGCCTCTTTGGTGCGATAAAAGTGAAGCTTCACCAAGACATCACGGGGGGGTCCATCTTGTCTTTTGCGGTTCAGCGCCCGGTGGGTTCTTTCAATTTCCAATCATTCCATCGGGATGTCAGGGGCCAACTCCTGGAAGAGTGCTGTGGTTGAGGAGAATAGATCAACGATATGCTTCGGGAGCCCCCTGATGTGGAGGTTAGATTTGCGGGACCTATTCTCCATGTCCTCCAATTTGGACAGGAGCTTTGTCAATATCGTCAACGACTGAGGATAGATCAGACTTAATGGTGTCACACCGGTCTTCTAGGGCTGCTGTGCGGTGCCCTATGTCCCGAATTTCCTTTAGCAGCTTATCTGTGATTTGTTTGGACGTGGTTTGGAGCGCTTTTTGCAGCATGACGTCAAAGCGCTGCAGGAGTGCAGTTTGCGAGCGGCTCCTGGGGCGATCCCCCTCATGTGTGTTCAGATCCCCCTCTTCCATCTCGCTGCTGGAGACCGAGGCTCTGCGGGCCTGTGTCACGTGGGCGCGGGCTTGCGGCACCATCTTTGCTGAAGCCCGGGCCATCGTCTCATCTATCGGCTGCTGCTTACCCTTCTGGGAGTTGCAGGTGCCCGAGACCGACATCTTCCGCCGCTGCAGGGTGTCCAGTATCCGGTAAGGTTAGTGGGGAGGTTGGGGAGCAGGATGCTCCGTGCTATGTCGGTGATTGCCTGGGTGAGCCGCGGAGCTGTCCTAGAAGGCGACCTCCATCGGCAGCTTGTTTTATTAGTTTCTTATACAAATACACATGACATAGCCTCACAACATCACATTTGCGTAGCGTTAAAGAAAATCAGGTTTAGGGGGGAAAGGAATGAAGGGGGGAGGGTTAAGGGGAAGAAGGGAAGGGATCCACGTCTTTGGGTTCAAACACATATGCCCTCAGTTGTCCTCTCCATCCGGTGTATCTAACACAATCCTTTATATAAAGGGTTCATCTAGCCAAGAGCTAGATGTATCCCGTTACACTGAGAATAATTGAGATATATGCAGGTAAACAGCTCCATTTTACAGACAAGTGTATAGAAATTATTATTAGATGCAAGATGTAGACTGGTCGGGGACCACTTGTGAATCCTAGGTCGGTCCTGCGCTTAACACTCGTAGTACACTCATTGCTTTCACTTTTTCAATTAGCCACCAAAAGGTTTTTTGGTCACAATTTTTGTGTGCCGTCTTTAAGACCACACTTCTTTGATTCTATTTAAAGTATATGTCTGTGATAAAAAAAAGTCACTACCTGGATTTTGGACAATGTTATGATCTGGGGTTTCTTCAGTTGGTCAGGTCTAATTTCAGCAATGGTATGTGCTCAAAAAATGAGGTCAGCTGCCTACCTGAATATACTGAATGACCAGGTTTTTCCATCAATGGATTTTTTCTTTCCTGATGGCACATTGGACATATTCCAAAATGACAATGCATGGATTAATCGGGCTCAAATTGTGAAAGAGTGGCATGAGACATCATTTTCACACATGGATTGGCCACCACAGAGTCCAGACCTTAACCCCATTGTGAATCTTTGGGATGTGCTGGAGAAGACTTTACGCAGTGGTCCGACTCTCCCATCATCACTACAAGATCTTGGTGAAAAATGAATGCAACTCTGGATGGAAATAAATGTTGTGACATTGCATGAGCTCATTGCTCATGATGCCATGGCAAATGTGTGCCGTAATCACAGCTAAAGCTGGTCCAACAAAATATTGGAGAGTGGGATTTTTTTTATGGTCAAGCAGTGTAGATATTCAGTACCTCTGTCTGTTTTCTCTCTTTACAAATACAGAAACATACCTAATGATCCTGCCAGAAATCCACTGAGCCTTTAACTTCTTGTAGTGAACTACTATTCTGGTTCTGCCTCACTGCAATTTCAAGCCCTGTTGTCAGCCCTGCTTCAGTTTTCTCCTGCTATGCTACAGACCTACATACCTATTTATATCCCAATCTGCCTGCATTCAAGTATTTTTGCCTCCACATGGCTGATTGATTGCTGTTAGCAGAATTTCATCATATTTACTAAGTTAAGTGAAAATTCCCTTGCAAAGTAAAAGTTCACTTTGCAAATCAAATAGCCTAAATTCCTCTCTGCTGCCTTGACTCCCATGAGCATGCCCACACACTGTTGTTGTGGGAGGCACACCTACATCAATGGGAATAGACCTAGACCACCCAGCAGCTACCCCTGCAATAATTTTTCAAGCTTGGTTATGATATCATAAGGATTCATAAAAGCTGTTTCTTAATAAAGGTACAATAAAAATGTTTTACTAAAAGGGGAAATGGCCATATTGATCGTAAATTTGGATCATGTCTATAGAAATCCTTTCAAATTGCTTTTTTTAATCTCCCCCCCCCCCCCCCCCCCCCCCCCCCACACACCCCCACATATCACCCAGGGAACGGCAATATCTGGTTGTTGTACAGGGGCAATGAGGGCATGCTGGGACTTGTAGTTCCCTAGCTGATATGTTATGAAGCTGTATTCCACCTGAAAGTACTACAAT